GGCTCAGGTCATGATCCCAGGGTGCTGGGATCAAGCCCCATGTCGGGCTCCTTCCTCAGCGGGGAGCCTGCTTCTCCCTCTGCCTGCTTCTCTCCCTGCTTGCGCTCTCTCGCTCTCTCTCTCAAATAAATAAAATCTAAAAAGAAAAAAATTTAAAAAATAAATAAAATCTTAAAAAAAAAAATCGAAGCTCGGTTCCCCAACTCTTAGACCAGGCAACTTAAGGAACTTCTCACACTCCCTGGACCCCTCCTACGCACTAAAACATAAAACCCAACATCCTTTCCAGTGGCTTCTGAAGCCATCCTCACGACCTCACGTCCTGCCCCAACCCGAGTCCCAAAGCTGTACCTCCCTCCCTTCACCAAGGCCTCTGCTCAAACGACAGCTCCTCAAAGCAACTTTCCTCAGCCCACCCCGCAAGCTAGCAGCACCCCCACGCCTGTGTCCCTGCTGCTGCTTTCTTTTTCTTAGCACTTCCCGTCACCCAGCATGGCCTGTATCTATTCCTTTACACAGTCCATCCTCGCGTGTCAGCTCTGGACAAGGTCCTTAGCTGTCCTGGACTCTTGCATCCCCAGCACCTACCTACACACAAAATAGCAACTAACGTTTACTGAGCACTTACTACATGCCAGGCATCGTTCTAAACATTTTACAGGCAGTAACTCAAGTAACCCCTCACTCTGAGGGAAGTACGATTTTAATCCTATTTTAACAGATCAAGAGGCTGAGGCACAGAGAAGTTAATTAACTCCCCCCGCCCCCGACCCAGGTCACACAGGAAGTGGTCACACCTGGACACATGGGTTTTGGGGGGGGGCCCCAAGTCTTGACTTCTGTGCTAGTGCTTCAGAGCACCCCATAGCATGAAGATTGGACAAAAAAGAATCACAGCCACCATGCCCCCCCCCACCCTTCACCCCACACTGGCCCTGCTTCAGACAAACCACTTGCTCCATCATGGTTAAAAAAGAAAGTGACGGGAGGGGCTGCACGTGGCCCACTTTGACTGGTTACCCCATCAGGTGGGTGGCTGCCTTCAGCTGCTCCAAATTTACCCCCTCTGATACTGTGGTTTCTTTTTTTTTTTTTTTAAGATTTTCTTTTTACTGGGGCGCCTGGGTGGCTCAGACATTAAGCGTCTGCTCTCCGCTCAGGTCATGATCCCAGGGTCCTGGGATCGAGCCCCGCATCGGGCTCCCTGCTCCGGGAAGCCTGCTTCTCCCTCTCCCACTCCCCCTGCTTGTGTTCCCTCTCTCGCTATGCCTCTCTCTGTCAAATAGATAAATAAAATCTTAAAAAAAAAAAAAAAGATTTTTTTTTTTTTAATTTATTCATTTGAGAGAGAGACAGACAGAGCACAAGCAGGGGGAGAGGCAGAGGGAGAAGCAGACTCCCCCCTGAGCAGGAAGCCTGCCACGGGGCTCGATTCCAGGAACCCCGGATCACAACCCGAGCCGAAGGCAGACACCTAACCATCTAAGCCACCTAGGCGTTCCTGATATTGTGGTTTATAATATTGTGGTTTATAATACGTATTTGGTCTTCGTCATCTGTTTCTGACTCACAGCCCCTAAAATGCTTCAAATTTCCTAAGTGATCAGAGCAATGGGAGCATCTTCTGTTCCAATATTTGACCTTGTGTCCTCAGTTCTGGAAACAGCTTGAGCCATAAAGGTCAAAGGAATGTCTTGCTATTCATGACAAGCGCCTTTCAGCCACAGCTGAGTATATGTTACTAAGGTGACTGGAGGAAAGCCGCTGAGCATGGGGGCTGGTTGCCAGGGAAACCAACCATGGGATCAGAAGGCAGGAGCCCCTCACCTCTACCTCTGGGCTGGGGAGAGGGGCTACAGATTGAATCATTCACCAACGGCCAATGATTTCATCAACCATGCCCGTGTAATGAAGCCTCCATAAAGACTCAAAAGGACAGAGTTCAGGCAGGCTTCCGCATTGGTGACCACGTGAAGGAGCTGGGAGGGTGGCAGACGCAGGGGGCCATGGAAGTTCCAGCCCAGTCCCACAGAAACCTTGCCTTGCCAGCTGGCTGTTCCTGAGTCCAAGTTACAGCCTTTGTAAGAAACTGGTAATCTAGTGAGTAAAATGGTCTCCTGAGTTCTGTGGGCTGCTCTAGCAAATTAACTGAACCCAAGGAGGGGGGTCATGGGAACCTCTGATTTACAGCCTATCTGTCAGAAGCACAGGTGACCACCTGGACTGGTGACTGGCGTCTGAAGTGGAGGGCGGGCTTGTGGGACTGAGCCCCTCACCTGCGGCGTCCGGTGCTCCCACCAGGTAGAGAGCGTCCGAATGGAGTGCATTTTGCAGGGTGTCTCATCGGTGTCTACGGAGAACTGGGGAATTGCCGGGTGGTGTGGAAAATCCTCCAGACCCTCATTCGTTGATGTATTGTCTGTGTCTGTGTCCTGCTTCAGCAGCAGAGTTGGGTAGATGTCATAGAGACCGCAAGAGCGCCCAAGTCTAAAATACATACTACGTGGCTCTGTACCGGCAGTTTGCCGAGCCTGCTCTAGGGAATGGGTAGGGTAGAGGGCAGGGCTATGGGAGGAGAGGGGGTCCAGGAGACCACCAAGAATGAAGAGGGTAGTGCTGAGGGGGTGACCGTGACCCAGGAAAAAGGGTGACTGACCCAGGGGCTGGCTTAGTGAATTCAAGGGCCAGGGCCTCTCTCCCCTCCTGGCCTCTACATGAATTCACTTTGCCTGCAATTGTTCTGCAAAACTGCTCCTCACATCCGGAACCATCCCCTGGCTGTGCCCGCGGGGCCCTCCTCCGTACTCCCGGAGCTGTCCTCCACCCCCACGGTCCTCTGAGTACGCTGTGATGGGCCTCGTAGGTGTCACCAGACTGGAGGCTCCTGGAGGCCAGAGTCTCACTCCCCTAAGTGAGGATGGGGGCTGTATGTGAACAAGCACATCTGCAGAGACCCCAGTTCACCCCAAGAGCCGATGACACTGAGTCACAGGGCCTGGGATGAGGGAGGGCATAGTCAGAGGCCAGCTGGGTGATTCCGGGCCTGCAGGAGTGGCCAGGCTCTCAGCAAGCGCAGCTGTGCTTCTGGGGAGCTTCTGGAGTCCAGGGACAGCACCAGCCAGCCAGTCCAGTGGCCAAGACTCCATCTCCCCCTACACATTTGGTGGCCGGCAAGTAGGACCACGGACAGACCCCAGCTCAGACCCAAAGCCAGAGCCAAGAGTCAATGTGTAAAACAAATGAAAGGTTTATTTAGAAGCAGGAATGCTGTCCAGTATATACAATACAAACTCTGTCTTGGGATCAACACAAGCCTGGGAACCGAGGCCACATCCAGAAAGGGCCTCCTTCCAATTCAGAACGGCCCTGGGAAAGAGCAAGTGAGGCTGAGGTCCTCCCAGGGTGGTCCACCAGGGGGCAGACACACTGCATCGCCACATGGCGTCCAACGTGGGCGGAGACTGCGGGCGGAGACCCCCGCCAGTCCAGGCAGTGGGACACCCTGACTCCAAGGGATTCCTGATTTCGGGGAAGCTTTTACTTTCTCTTCATGGTAAAGGCTGGACTCTCCTACCCTCTAAAATTTCAGCTGCCGAGGTCCAAGTCCAGTGGACTTTTTCAACGAGGGATCCAAGTACCTAGGACCCAACTGGCTTCTCCAGGAGTCCCCTCTTCCTTCCAGAAGCTGGTCCAGGCCACACGCGTCCATGCTCTGCAGGACTCTGGGCATGCGTTTGGGGGAAGTGGACTGACTCTTCAATGGAAAAGAATCCTTTGACAAAATTGCTGATTCCAGCTGCCTCGGGCAGGCCATTCAATCCAGCAACATGGCTACACAGACCAGCAGCACAATGGCAGACACACAGACACAAAACTGGCTCTCAGCACCCCACGTCCACTTGAGATCGAGGCAGGCACAATACCCAAGTGGCCCCGTGGTTTCCCTGGGGCCTGGCACTCCAGGCAGGGGGTGGAGGGGTGAAAGAGGAGCACCTCCTCGGGAGGCAGAGGAAGGTCCAGGCTGAGGTAGGAGGAGAGATGGCTGAAGGCCTCAGTCATCCCCAGTTCCTGAAATTCCCTGACAGGAGGTGTGGCCTCGCAACGCCACCCCAAAGCCACCCCAAACCCGGAGGGAGGGAGGAGGGGCCCGAGCTGTAGGTAAATTGGGAGTGAAGGTCAAAAGCAGAGAACAGTGCACTCCCGAGTTTGGCTTTGTCGTTTTGTTGGCTTGTTTACCTGCGTGGTGTTTTTTTTTTTCGTTTTGTTTTGTTTTTTAATTGCCCCACGTTCAAGTTGGCAGATCTTCGGCTAGAGGTTTGCCGTCTTGCCCGGACTACAGGACTTACACAGGTTGCTGGCTGGGCCCACTGGTTTTCCCACCATCGTGCAAGAGGTGAAGCTGGTAGGAATGGCTCCGGAGGTGCTACTAGCTAGTCAACGGGGGGGCGGGGGGCCCCTGTCCCCTGCTGCCATCATCGCCCCATCCCTGCACAGAACCATCTGATCAATGACACCCCCCCCCCCAGCCCAGCTCCCGCTGGGACCATGCTGTAGCCTCAGCACTCAGGTTCAAGCACTGCCCCTTTCTCCACTGCCCCTTCTCTGTGGATGACTCACGCAGCGTCCCTCCTCCCCAGCAGGCCCCGCTGGAAGGCAGGATGCTGGGGCCTCCCAGGAAGCCAGAGCTGGGTAGAGCCCAGGGATCAGAAACAAAATAAGGGCTCACAGGGCCAGCTGGGGGGGCGGCTCTCAGAGCGGCAGGGGCTGGTTCCAGGCCGGCCAGATGGCCGTGTCCAGCTAGCCTTCTGACACACCGTGACAAGAGCAGTTTTCCACCATTCTCCCCGCCTCGCCCTTCTGCCAGCAGATGAGAAAGGCTGAGGCTGTGGGGGCCACGAAAGGAATGTGGCTCAGAAAGAGCCAGAGTCCTGCGGGGTGGGGAGCCTAGAAGGACCAAGAAACAGCCCACCTCGGCTGAGAGACGACTCATGCCAGTCTGGCTAACTGGACTTCATCCCAGCGTCAGGCACACCAAGGGGCAGGGGCTTGTCCTCTGGGGTCTCCAACAGAGTCTCTGGAGCCCCTGGCTGGGAGTGAAAAGGGCATTCTTCCTTGGAGAAGGGGACCTGCTCGTCATCTGGGGAGCCGGAAGGGCTGGCGTCCACGTCCCCCGTTGCGTAGTTGGCCTGGGAGGCACACTGAGCACCGTGGTCGGAACCACTGCACACATTCACGATGCAGGTGACGTTGACCTGGGTCCCGTGGCTACCAGAAGGCTCTGCTGAACAGAAGATGGGGGAGGGCGGTCAGTGAGGGGTGGGGGGGGGTCCTGGAGTGGAGGAGGTCTTCCTGGTCTGTCTGCTGCCCAAGAGACACATTAAGACAAAAGGGTCAGGGCGCCTGGGTGGCGCAGATGGTTAAGCGTCTGCCTTCGGCTCAGGTCATGATCCCAGGGTCCTGGGATCGAGCCCCACATCGGGCTCCCTGCTCGGCGGGGAGCCTGCTTCTCCCTCTGCCTCTCCCCGCTGCTCATGCTCTCTCTCTCTCTCTGTGTATCTCTGTGTCTCAAATGAATAAATAAAATCTTAAAAAAAAAAAAAAAAAGACCAAAGGGTTAAGAGGAGGGCTGGGCCGAGAGCCTCGGTAGAGGCCATGGTTCTAGCCCAGCTCTGCTGGGTAACCTCGGGCAAGTCACTTAACCTTCACAGGTCCGTTTCCTCATCTGTCAAATAATTTCTAGCTCAATTCACCCCACAGATGGGAGGAGCCAGTTACATAAAGCAGGTGAAGGTTCTCAGAGGACCAAACACACTCCCTGCAAAGAATCAGAGAAGTGAGCGGGGACAAGAAGTATACGTTACAAAACAATGGTCAAGCAACCAGGAGGAGTTCCCTTCCCGTAGCTGTAGGAAGCCTCGGCAGCCCTGGCCGGGCCAACCAGGAAAAGGCCGGACTCCTCCGTCAGCGGCCCCTTATCTGCTGGCCACCAAGTCAACATCAAAGGGTTTGGAAATTGCTCCCTTATGGAAATGAAACATTGACCGTGACATTGTCCTCATTTGCAGCAACTCTGTTTCCTCCGCGCAGGGCTGCCTATTTCATAAATCTGGGATTCCAGAATGGGGTGGGTGGTGGATTGGCCTCATCACTGAGGCCAGGATGCCTGGGGTAGGTTCATGCCCACCTTCCCGCCCGGCCCAGCGGGCACCTGCGTTTCCTAACTAGTTGGTGAGGGACTGAATGCTGGATGAGCCGAGGAGCTAAGTGTAAGGGGCTGGATGCACGCTAGCCCCTCCAAGAGGGAGAGCTGCTCCTGCTGTCACTGGAGGACTTGCCCGGTACCCAAACATGCGTGGCGTCTGGGGTGCATGGGGAGGGCTGGACGTTTGTTTCCAACTCCAGGGAAGGCTGAAAGCAGGATGGAGCCAGCGAGCTGCTCTGCTCAGAACAGCCCCAAAGAGGCCGAGGGAGGGAGGGCTGAACTCACGGGGCCAGAAGGAAATTTCCACCATGCCGAGCCCCCACGGCACCCAAATGTCACTCAGTCACCGTGGCCTTTGCACATGGTGAATGAGACACTGCGGGGGTGGATGGGGGACCACGAGGGGGCACAGCCATGTGTTCCCACAGTAGAGGGAGGAGTTGGGGTGGGAGGAGAGAGGGGAAGAGCAGAGGTGACACCAGAGAGTCGGGTGGGACAGACAGCAGGGGGCGGAGGGTGGAAGGGGTGGGCAGCCATGGTCAAGGGTCCACGTCTGGGCCAAGGAATAAGGTGCACCAGGATGACCGTGGAAGAGATGTGGCTACAAAAGCAGAAAGATGAACCCCAGAGATGGACAAAGACCAAGAGTTTATATCTGGAGTTCCGTTCACTCATTCAACAAAGGTTTAGGACCACGGGCTACGTCCCTTCCTGGGGGAGCTCTCAGACTGGGGTGGGGACACCAAGATATCAGAATGATAAGGGTGGGCTACAGCAGGGGACACAGAGGTGGGGCACCTCAGTGCAGGTGGCAGTCGGGGAGGGAGCAGTCGTAGAAGCAGGTGACAGGTAGGAAAAGACATTGTAGCCCTGCCAAGGAGAGGCCATGCTCATCTCCAGACGAGCAAACTGAGGCTGAGTTAAGGAGCCTGTCACTACAAGATATACCCAAAGGAGCCTCAGGCTTTCTGGGGGGGACCCCGGCAGGCCCTCCCTCCAATGTGGGCACTGAAGCTTCTCACCATGGGTGACCCCGTCACAGACCAGGCCCAGGGCAAAACACATTCTGTGTAAATGGGGCCTCGGCTTCTCCAGAACCCACGAGGTCCTCACAATCCTGATACCTCAGGCCCAAAGGGACTGGGCAATGGGCCACAGTGAGTGGAGCCCTGAAGACACCCATTTATTCATCCAGCTTTCCACCCCAGGGCTCTGGAGCCTGAGAGCTCTTCTGTTTACTAGCTATGTGCCCTTGAACAAACTCTTCAACCTCTCTGGGCTTCACAGTGTCCTCATCTGTAAAATATAATAGATCTTAATATGAGACTGTTATAATATTTAATATTATGTAATAATTTATATAACATATATACAAAATATACATAGTGTATAGGTGTTATATAATACATACCGTTATACATCACTGTGCGATAATATTACTATATATTTATATATTATAACATACAGGAAAACTCCCTTCCTGGATATCGGGGACTCAAATGACAAGCTGGGATTGTCTAGAAGGAAGGGTGTTCCTGGGGAAAGAACCCTCATGGGCAAAGGTGGGCAGGATTTGGTGGGTTCAGAGAAATGAAAGAGGTTTGTGGCTCCATGTTACACCCGAGGAGGAGCAGGGAGACGAGGCTGGGTAGTCACCCAGCCGTTCCGATGCCCTGCTGGGAGCTCAGGCCTGGCCCTGCAGCGGAGACCCGGGAGGCGCCGGCCAAGACAGAAACCAGGAAGAAACAGAAAGCAGGGGGAAGGAAGCCAGGTGGGCTCCCGCCTCTCACCTGAGCTGCTGGAGCTGGCCTGGGCCTCCCTGGACCCACTGGCCTTCTCCGCGCCTGCCGCCGGCGGCTGGGTCCTGGCAGGCGCCCTCCTGTCTGCGGTGCCGGCTGAGCTCTCCAGGGAGCTGCTGCTGGAGCTGGGGGCGGTGGTCAGCAGGTGCTGTTGCTCGGGGCCCGGGGCGCCTCGGGCCTTATCAGCAGGCCGGTGAGGCTGGAGGGGCAGGAGAGGACGGAGAGCGGTCAGCCGGTCGGCCTGTTTCCTCTTCCTTCCTTCTCACACCATGTGCACCCCGTGACATCAGCGCTGCGGTTTACACCGCGCTCCTGCCCGCACCTGCACGTTCTCCCCACGCTCGGTGCTTTCAGGACGGTGGGATTCTGCATGGTTTCTGTGATTAGCTTCTGGCTGGTCTACCCGAATGTGAGCCCTAAGAGGGTGGGGGCCGTGTGGCCCTGTTCACCAAATAGTCCTGGGTGGGGGGCAGGCCTTTCATCCTCATTTTGCATCAGTTAACAGAGGCCCAGAGAAGGCGAGTAACTTTCCTAAGGCCACTTCATCAGCGCAGGGTGATGTGGCTCAGCCTAGCAGCCGAGAGCATGGGCTCTGGACCCACAAGACCATGTGGGTACAAATCATGACTCCATCCCTTACTCAGCTGTGTGACCTTGGACAAGGTACCTAACCTTTCTGTGCCTCCTTTCTTTCCTCTATCAGGGGAGCATTAAAAACCTACCTCCTAGGGTTGTTGTAAAGATTAAATGGCTGAATATTTGTCAAGTGCTCAGAACAATGCCTGATCCAGAGTAAGCACCACACACTGGTGGGTTTGTTACATGAAAAAGGAGACAGAAGGGCTCACGTTCTCATTTGCCACCCTTGGCCCCTGGCCTGCGCAGGACACGAGGGTCCCGGCTGGGATGGGAACCAAGGCAAATGAAGGGCTGGGGGGATGTGGCCTAGGACAGAAGGGGGAGGTGAGGGTCAAGACAGCAGGCCTTTGCTGTAGGGATGGGGGCATGTCGGCCCCCTCCCCAGGAAAGGCTGTGACCCCTTGGCCTCACTCCTGCTCCCCAGGGAGCAACAATTTCAAGTGTGCTCTGGCCAATCACCGCAGGCCCCCAGCCCCCAGCCCCGCCTATGATGGCTTCTTCCACAAATGAGCCTGCCCCAGCCCTCAATTCCCTGAGGCCGGCCCACTGTCATCAGGACTGAAGGATCTTTTTCACAAGCTGTCCCTTGAGGCCACCCAGTCCCAGGGAGGGTGAGTCCCCAGCTCCATATCACACGGCTGGTCTGGTCTGTGGTAGAGGCACAATAAGCCCAGATCAGCATAGCAGAGATGCTGCCTTCTCACGGCATCCTGCCTCCCTGGTTTATGGTCCCCAGCTTTTGAGGGACGGAGGGCATTTCAAGTTCAGGCTGAACCTTTGGCCATTGTATGGCACTCCTACCCTTGCTTCAAGCTTGGACAGGCAGGAGCAGGTGGGACAGAGGAGCATCCAAATGTCATTTCTCACTACCCCCAAAGAAGGGGCTTTTGGGACCAGTATCCTGCTCCTCTGCTCGTGGGTAGGGCTGGACAGAACAGAAACCCCTAAAGGTCACAGTCCGCCTCCTTCCCCCAAAGCCACAAGTTGCAAAGTTCAAGTAGGCTCTGAGTGGGGAAGATGCATCCTGAGTTCTGTTGCTTGGGCTGGGAGGGGAGTACTGAGGAGGCTCACTCAAAAAAAAAACAGGATTCCAGACAGCCAGCCCCCATCACAGCCGAGCCCCACCATGGGCAGAAGCTAAGACACTGGCAGAGCCACCAGCTGGGTCCTCCAGATTTCCAGTTTCCATGTCTGTCTCTGTGCGTGTGTGCTCATGAGGCCCACACATTTGTATGTACAGGGGTGGGGGTGGGGGTGTGAAGTGTGCCCACGAACCTGTCTGCAGGGGGGTGCGTATCTGTGAGTGGTGCAGTTACTGTGTGTGCTAGGGCTGGTGAAGAGAAGCCCTCCTAGGCTGGTGTCTCAGGCCACTCTCATTAGCTGTGTGACCTTGGGAAAGTTACTTAACTCCTCTGAGCCCAAATAGCCTCGGCAAGACAACTGGGGCAATAATCCTACTGCCTGAGTCGTAGCCTGGCTGTGAGACTAAGCAATGCTCAGAACTGTGCCTGGCACACGCTCGGCGCCTCACAAACGTGAGCCCACGCAGCAGTGCGTCCGTGGAGTGACTGCGGGCGAGCTCACATGTGTGGGTACGCCGGCCTCTTCCAGACGAAGGGAAGTCACTGTCCCGCCATGCCTTGGGGTTTACCTCTGCAGCAGGAGGGGGCAGGAGGCACTGGGTCTCCACTCTCTCTACCCCAGCGGCCCCAGGGCTGGAGCCTGACCAGGCAGCCTCCTCGCAGGGACAGCCGAGGAAGAATGGGGCTAAGCATGGGGGCTGCCTGGTCAGGCTCCAGTCCTGGGAAGGAGGCCCTGGCCGTGGGGGGCAGGCCCTGCTGGGGGCTGAAAGTCGGCCTTGGCCAAACGGCATGGCGGGAAGTGGGCAGAGCCTGAAGATTCCCACTGAGCTCCCAACCCAGGCTCAGCCACTCACCCAGGTATCTAAGCTTACACAGGTCACTGAACCGCCCCGAGTCTGTCTCCTCACCGGTAACGTGGAATCGGTGGGAGCGCTTCCCTCACGGGGCTGTGTGAGCACTCGGCGGCTGGGCACAGGCGAAAGGCCTGGCGTGGCTCCCGTGCTGGCTCCCGGCTTAGCAGTGAGTGAGCACCGGGCTAAGCAGTTAAGTGCAGTGAGGGAGCTCCTGGCTAAGCAGTGAGGGAGCTCCCGGCTAAGCAGTAAGTGCAGTGAGTGAGCTCCCGGCTAAGTGGTGAGTGAGTTCCTGGCTAAGCAGTAAGTGCAGTGAGTGAGCTCCCAGCTAAGCAGTTAAGTGCAGTGAGTGAGCTCCCAGCTAAGCAGTGAGTGCAGTGAGTGAGCTCCCGGCTAAGCGGTGAGTGAGTTCCCGGCTAAGCAGTAAGTGCAGTGAGTGAGCCCCCAGCTAAGCAGTGAGTGAGCTCCCGGCTAAGCAGTAAGTGCAGTGAGTGAGCTCCCGGCTAAGCAGTGAGTGAGCTCCCGGCTAAGCAGTAAGTGCAGTGAGTGAGCCCCCAGCTAAGCAGTGAGTGAGCTCCCGGCTAAGCAGTAAGTGCAGTGAGTGAGCCCCCGGCTAAGCAGTGAGTGAGCTCCCGGCTAAGCAGTAAGTGCAGTGAGTGAGCCCCCGGCTAAGCAGTGAGTGAGCTCCCGGCTAAGCAGTGAGTGAGCTCCCGGCTAAGCAGTAAGTGCAGTGAGTGAGCCCCCGGCTAAGCAGTGAGTGAGCCCCCGGCTAAGCAGTGAGTGAGCTCCCGGCTAAGCAGTAAGTGCAGTGAGTGAGTTCCCGGCTAAGCAGTGAGTAATCGCCGGCTAAGCAGTGAGTGAGCCCCCGCTAAGCAGTGAGTGAGCTCCCGGCTAAGCAGTAAGTGCAGTGAGTGAGTTCCCGGCTAAGCAGTGAGTAATCGCCGGCTAAGCAGTGAGTGAGCTTCCAGCTAAGCAGTGAGTGAGCTCCCGGCTAAGCAGTGAGTTCCTGGCTAAGCAGTGAGTAATCGCCCAGCTAAGCAGTGAGTGAGTTCTCAGGGGCTCGGAACCGGCCATGGTGGGAATGTGTACGATGGTGTGAGCAAACACCACAAATCAGAGTCTGCATTTTTGGTTTTGGGGTTTTTTTTTAGTTGCCCAGAGAGCCAGTTACCAGCACACCACTGGGCTCTATCCTCAACCACACTCAACAAATAATCGAGTTACACTCGGTGAACAGGAAACTCAGTGGACAGAAAGGGGAAATGGAGGCCACTGGCCACGCCTGAGACACCTTTGCTGCACCGAGTGTTGGGAAACACTTGGTCGGGACAGACACTGCAGCAGCGGGGAGGCTGGGTGGAACCCCACCAGGCAGCCACTGTCAGCACCCCTGAACTGAAGCCAGAAGAAAGGAAGGTGTGGCGTTTGTACTCCGGGGTGGGGGGGATGGAGAAACAGTCTGCACTTCCAGGCCAGTGTGTTTGTCTGCGACAACACAGGGCAGGCGGGCCAGGAGTCCAGAGACACGTTGCTATGTGACTTTGGACAAGTCACGTTCCCTCTCTGCACCTCTTTTCCTGCCAGCAACATCAGGAGCTGAGATCAGTCTCTGGTCCCTACCCAGTCCGACTCCCTGTGTAAACCTTGGGCACTGGGCCACCAAGGGCTGAGCTTTTCCCCAGCATGGTGGTTCTCGATCGGGGGGATTGTGGTCTCCAGGGGACACTTAGCAATATCTGGAGACATTTTTGGTTGTCACTCCTGAGAACCGATGCTACGGGCATCTCGTGGGGAGAGGGTAGTGATACTGCTGAAAACCCCCAGTACGCAGGACAGTCCCCCCTGCCCCCATGACAAAGAATTATCTGGCCCCATATATCAAAATGGTTGAAGTTGAGAAACCTTGCCCAAGCAGGACTGGGGACATGGAGGGAGTTCCTCATAATGTTTCCTCATCTGTAAAGTGGGCAAAAATTCTGCCCTGCCAACCAGGTAGAAGTTACAGCAGACATGGTGTACTGGCCCATCCAGCACCCATTCCCAAGCCCTGTCCCTCCCCTCCTCCACCTCAGAGGCTGGGAAAGTAGCCAGGGGTGGTCCCATGACCCGGCTCTGGCCAGTGAGACAAAAGGAGAAGCCCACCCAGGGCTTCGGGGACACTGTCTGACTTCCTGATAAAAGGCACCCTCGCCGGCCTGGCCACATTCCCCTCTTCTTTCTGCCTCAAACCTGGAGGTTACATACAAAGTGGGGCCCACGATCTCATGAGGTAAGGCCGCAAGCAAGAGAACAGAAGCCGACACGCAGAAGGGGGCAGAGCCTGGGGTCCTGCTGGCCTCACAGAAGGATGCAAATGAACGGTTCCAGCAGCTGACAACCCCTGGACTCTCTGGGACATGAGAAAAATAATGCCCCTTTGCTTTAAGTCACTTGTAATCAAATAAATGCCTTCCTGAGGAGAAACTGATGAGCTACCATGCCAGTGTTCTAACAAAAGTCCCTCACAGACCCCATTTTATTAAAAAAAGATCAAAGGTAAGCTGCTTTGGTCGAAGCAGACAGCAGGACGCAGGGCCCCAACCCCCAGCCTCCCTCTCAACCCCACAGACGACCCCTCCCACACCCTCTTTGGAACACCAGGGTACCCCCCGCACGGCTCCATGAGGAAGAGCTCTGTGAGGCCTCAGGGAGACACTGAGAACTGTCGCCACCGAGTGAACAGCACAGCCCTCACGTGGGGCTAAGCAGACACTGTCCCCTTCTAATGGTGAGGAGACAAGCATCGTGAGTAATTTCTCGTCTGCCCAACGTCACAACAGGGGTCCATGAGCAGGTGCTTGGTACCGACACCACTGACCCCCTGCTCTCTGATGGGGCACTTCACACTCACCCTCTCATTTAGCCCAGGGAGGGCTGCCTAACCCCCAAGGACAGACTGGCTGACCGTCCCTCAGCCCCCCAGGGCTGCACACCGCCTCACGCTGGACAGACCAACCTTCAGAATTCACGGCTGCCCGTGGGAATAACACGGCCCACCAGGAAGGAGAGCAAGGGAGGAGGGGGCAGGCAGAGGGACACTTACCACTTTGGCTTCTCCTTGTAGGCAGAAGGGCTTCTCTGTGAAGAAGAGAGAGGGGACAGACAAGTCAGGGAGAGTGGCTTCCTCAGGTCACACCTGCTCTAACGAGGAGGGCAGCATGGGGCCCAAGCAGAACCATTCAGAGTAGGCCCAGCCCTGGGCGGCAGCAATCACCCACCAGACAAGGTACACAGAAGCCCCCCTTCCCAGCTCCCCAGCTGACCCAACCCTGTCCCATTCCCCTCCACCATGCCCAACTGTTGTCCAGCGTCCCCCGCTTTGCTCATGCCACGGCCTCTCCTTAGCTTGCCTTCTCTGTCCTGCACATGTCTACCCACGGAAATCTGACTCAGCTCCGATACCACCTGCTTCAGGATTTCCAGACAAGAATCCCAGACTGCCACCCCCTTGGATTGCTCTGATGACATCTTGCCTCTTAGCAGGTAAGTCAGTGGCCATGCCTTCTGCCCCCGGCTCTGAGCTCCCACGGAACAGGGACTGCCAGTATCCAGCTCTGTCTGACCCACAAGGCTGTGCCCGGTGCTGGACTCACAGGAAGAGCCCCAGAAAAGCTTCCAGAGCAAATGGATGAATGCATGAAAGAGGAAGGAATGAAAACTTACTCTTTTTCTGGGTCATGATGACACAGTTCACCAGCCCTATTATCAGCAGACCCAAGGCTGTCACACCGACAATCAGTCCTGGAAGGAAAAAGAGAAGCTCAAAGCAACTGCAGAAAGCAAACCCAAACATACCAGGGGCCAGGCAGCCAAGTCCATGACCAAAGATGTCTGGGTTGCCACAGGAGGGGCAAACCCAGTCCAGAGGCTCTCAAATTCAATTACAAGACCAACAAGCTAAAAACTACATACCAGACAAAACATGTCGGTCTGCCACATTCAGCCCCCGGGTCACCACTTTGAGATCTGTGGTCTGATGGAGTCCTAACCCCAGAAGGGAAACCCATGAGGTGACCTGGCCCAGTTCATCGGCTAATGAGTTCATCAGAAATGGCAACCAGGAGATCATCTCCTCTTGCAGATAAAATGCTGACCCCACCTGTCTCACCCAGCGGTCCTTAGTGACAGCACCACATCTTGGCAGAAGACAGGTCTCACCAGCACCCGCCTCCCAGGACAGAGGACAGCGTCCGGCCCTCAGCGGGCGCTCAGTAAAACTCTGAGAGTAGAGAGGCTGAACGAGCCCTCCTGGGACTTACCAATGGGAAGAGAGATGTCGCCTGTGCTGAGCCCTTCAGTGGGGGGGCTTGGAACCATCGGGAACAGAACGGAGGTGCTGGGAGCCGTGCTGGGCCCTGGAGTTGGCTCCCCACGCTGGAACTGCGTGGGCCCTGGCTGGGATGTGGAGGCTGGGCGTGGGGCCGTTCCCAGGGTGGGGGGCACAGAAGTGCAGACTGCATCCATGCTGGCGTTGCCAGGGGTGGCCACAGAACTACAGCTGGGGGCAGAGGAGGTTTGGTCCGGGGACAACAGAGGCCCGAAGGGCTCGGCGTGGTTGGGCTCGCTCATGGGGCGCCAGGAGGGTCCATGGGTAAGGAGTCCCAGCATCCAGGATGCGGGAGAGAGAATTTGTGCCACATCCCCCCTCAGAATGGCCCGTCTCTGTCCCCCTCCCCCCCCCCCGCCCAGTCCCCATGCCCCCAACCCAGTGCTGACTTCCGGGGCCAGGCTACCATACACCTGCTGGCTGTGCTGGGACCCGCCCACTATGGGATAGAGCCATCCCGGCAGCGAATAAGGCTCCCCAGTGCCTCAACCCAAGGCAGTGAAGGGGGCCCATGGCATGGCCGCTCTGTGCACTAGACCACAGTCCCCCAGGGACCGCCCTCCCTGCTCCTCCAGAACCCAAGACTCAGCCACTCACATCCGGTGGGGCCTGCAAGTGTCTGTGGATGATGTTGTGCTGGAGAACGTCCCTGGGGCACAGGGAGTGCACACCACATCTGACGTTGCAGTTCCTTCAGGGAAAAATCGGAACCCGTCACCAACTCTAACTCTTAGTAGAACAGGCGGGCCTTGGCGCGGGAGCCCTAGGAGAAGTCTGAGGGGCCTACGGACCTCTGTCTGCACCTTCTGCCCCTTAAAACACACTCGTGAGCATGCACACATGCACATGAGCATATGGACACGCACGCTCGTGCACACCCACGCACGCACACACACAGCTGGGCACTTTGTTCTTGAACCAATTCTAGTGACTTCCTGGTCTCCAGGATCACGTGGGTTCATCTTCTGGGGCACCACCTGATTTTCCAGGAACTTCGGGCTTAATCTGATCCCTCTCTGGGCCCCTCAAGGCCTAGCACGGAGTAGGCGCCTAACCTGGCGTGCTGGCGCAAAGAACGGAAGGGGTAGGGGTGGCCAGCTGGATGGGTGGCAAGCCCCTGGCCACCGCTGTACATGCGCCCAGGTGGGGCTGACAGGTTGACACCCATGAAGGAGAGGCCCACGGGGGTCCCCGAGGACCGCTGGCCCTGGCCCCCTACCTGGTTTGGCCATGCCGAAGCCCGGGCGGCACCTGCGCAGCGGCGTGCACAGCCGGCAGCCGTCCTGCCTCCTCAGCGTGCAGTACCAGCCCGGCTTGCAGGTGCAGACCCGGTTCTGCTCCCGAGTGCAGGCTTGAGTCTCCACTTGGTCTACAAGAGCCAGAGGGTAGCCCAGGGTCATCCCTGCCTCCGCCGGCCCCACATCCCCCCAGCTGGGGGCAGAAAGAACACCGGCCACACGGTCCCAAGACCTGTGGTCTGGCTCCATCTCCATGATGGCGCGAGCAAGTGCACCTGCTCTCCGAGGCACGGCTTACTCAGCTCTAAAATGGACACAGTTCTCCCCCTGCGGCCCTTGGCCTACCTGCCCCATGGGGCTGTTGGAGAGGATTTGGTGAGACAGAGGATGAAAATGCCATTGGCAGGGCGCCCGGATGGCTCAGTCGGTGAAGCATCTGCCTTCCGCCCAGGTCATGATCCCAGGGTCCTGGGATCGAGCCCCGCATGGGGCTCCCTGCTCAGTGGGGAGCCTGCTTCTCCCTCTCCCTGTCCCTCCCCCACTGCTCACTGTCTCTCTCTCTCTCAAATAAATATATTAAATCTTAAAAAAAAAAAAAAGGGAACGAAAATGGCACTGGTAAACAGGGAAAGGGCTACCGTACAGTCCCATGCTCTGGGGCATGAAGAAAACTGGCCTGGGGTAATCCGAGCCAGTGTTCAGCTGGAGGGGATGGGCTGCACAGCGGCCAGGGGAAGGTTCCAGGGCCCAGGCCGCTCTCTGAGCCCACTCACCAGTGCTGCAGCGGGAGCCACAGCTCAAGCACTCGGGAACCCAGTTCCAGAGCTGGGTGTATGTGCTGTTCTCACAGCGGGCACACACGGTATCTGAGGTCTTGGTGCAGAACGATCGTGCATGGGAGCCTGAGAAAGCAAGGGCCAGAGGTCAGGGGCTCATCCACCACCCCCCCAGAGCCCCAGCGTCCTGAAGCCTGGGTGGGAAGGCTCTCTGAAAGCGTTCCAAGTCCTTCACCGAGCCATCTCACATCTTGCAGGCTCCTAGCCGTCACTTCATCACCACAGCCCTGACGCCCGTAAAATGCCTTTTCCTCTGCTCTTTCCAGATGCCTGGGATTCTACCACTGGAACTGCCTGTTGCTAGTCAATCACACTTTAGTGAGAGCTGGTTTGCTAGCTCCTTTCTTCTTTACAGTTGGCTAAAATTCTCCACCTGTGGGTGTGAACTAGCAGAACAACTAGGAATGTGGTCCCTGGTTTCTCATCAAGGATGAGGACATGGAACTCTTGTGGGTCTGAAGAGAAGGCATGCCAGGAGATGGGAGAACACCAAAGCAAACCTTTAAGGAGTTTCTCTCTTGAGCCTTGAGCCCTATCCTGCCATATTCACTGCTGTGCTAATCCAGTAACTTCTTACAGAGACCTTGCCAGTTAACAGAAAAAGAGTCACTTGTGAGGTCTCTTAAAATGGCTGTGGGAGATGACAGGTACACGTGTGCCCGCCCACACCTCAGGCTAACGGCTCAAGGGCCCTCCAATGGCTTCCTAGCGTCTGTAGAATAAAATCTAAGCTCTTACCATGGCCCCTGCTAACTTACTCTCTCTGGGCCACACACTGGCCTCACTGTTCCTCAGGTTCACCATATAGGCTCCCACCTCAGGGCCTTTGCACTTGCTGTTTCTCCAACCTGGCAGGCTGTTCCCTGTATATTTGTATAACCCACTCCCTCACCTTCTACATGTCTCCGCCCAAGTGTCAGCTCTTCAGAAAGGCCCTCCCTGACCACCCTGTACCAGACCGCATGTCCTGCTCCATCTGTCTCCATTGGCTTTGCCCTGCCCTGTTTCCTTCACAGCATTTACTCTCTGATAGGACCACACATCTATTTCCTCTGTTGGCTTCTTTGGCTGTGCCTCTATTAGATGCAAAATCCACGAGGGTGAGGATTTTGTCTGCCCTGCTCTCTGTTGTACTCCCAGCACTCAGAACAGTGCCTGACACTTAGATGGCGCTTTATAAATAGTATAGGAATGCATGTATCAACAAACGAGTAGATGGATGACACCAGGAGTTGAGCCACTCAGCTTTCCCAACTGAGGTTAGGCCTCAGGCCCACCATCCGTGAAATGGGTAAGCACGCACTGATTCGGTCATATATGTACTGAACACCCGCTATGTGCCAGGCACTCTGCCAGGCGCTGGAGATTCAGTGGAGAGCAAGCCCACAGTCCCTGTCCCAGAGGAGCACACGGTGGAGCTGACAAAAGAGGAACCAGGCCATGACCACAGGGTGAAGAGCAGCTGCCATGGGGGATGCCCAGGGGCCAGTGGGAGCTGAAAGGAGGGGCCAGATCTGACCAGGCAGTGTGAGCAGGCTTCCTGGAGGAGGGGTACGTCTAAGCTGAGCTCTACAGGAAAAGTAGGAGTTAACCTGGGGAAGGGAGTTGGGAATTAGGCCAGGATGAGGGAACAGAATGTGCCAAGGCCCTGAGGCGAAAGGCAGCACGGGGACAATTCATGGAACTAGAAGGAATTCAGTTTGAACTGAGGGCCGTGACCCTACCCTGCTCCGAGCCCCCCCCCACACACACTCCCTGCAAGGCGCCAGCCCCCAGGGCCCCAGGCGTCCAGGAGTCAGGGTCCCAGGCTGCCCCTCACCCGGCGGACACATGCTGCAGCACATCTTGGCCCTCTGGTCGAAGTACTCTGTGAGCCGGCATGTGCTTCCAGGCTCCGGAGCATAGGGGAGCGACGCAACCTGAAGAGGTAAGGGAAGGACAGCCATGAGCACAGCCCCCCTGGACCCTGTCACCCCCAACCCCTCAGGATGGGGGTCCTGTGGCCGCGAGTGTTTGGCCCTCTCCCTCTGGTGCTCTCCTGATGTGGGGGCTTCTCCCCTTTGAGGGGAAGGTAGACAGGAGAGTCCCCACCTTCTTTTACTGCCTCTTGTCCCTCCCTTGCGGGCACACGCATGTATACAGGTGGTGGCACCGAGCCAGCTGGCCCGAGCATCGGGCTAGCCCCTCAAACACTCCAGGGGACAGAGGTGGGGTGCCGGAGCTGCCAGAGGGCAGTGGCTTCAGTCACAGAGGACACCGGTGCTCAACACAAAGTGGCTCTCTGCCTAGGATGCCTCCTACTCCCTCCTGCACCTGGGAATCACCCCCTTGGTGCTTCCAGCTGAGTGCTGCCTCCTCTGGGAAGCCCTCCCTGACTCCACCAAGCTGTGTCAGGTTCCTCCCCCTCTGGGCTCTCTCTGAACACTGGATATGGCCCCTTCGGACAATCAGCTCATTATGCTAAAGTGGGGTAGGGGGGTGCATGTGCACCTGCACACGTGTGCACACGTACACACACGTGTGCCCCCACATACACGCATGCACCACAAACATCTGTGACGCAGGGGACAGAAATAACAGCATCATCATCGCTGGACCTCAGACTCCAACACAGGGCCCACACAGCATCGGGGCTCAGTAGATGAATGCTGGTTGATGACAATAATAACATGACCATGCCCTGAGCACTTATGGGGTACCAGGTGCTGATCCAAGTGCTCCAGGTGCTGTAGGCAGTGGATGCTATCGCCCCCCCCCAACTCAGGTCCTCTTGTACCCGCAGGGTGCCCAGCCCCCAGCCGCCCTCGGTGTTGACTGGTAAGGGCCCCGGCCTCCCTGCAGGACCGACACTGTATACAGTTCATGCTCCAGAGACCCCCCCCCGGGGGGTCAGGCTGCAGGGAAGCGGCCTTGGCCTTCCCCTACACACACGCACTGCCTAGGAGTCAGGACTGCCAGAGCCTTGACCGGGCCCTGCTGCCAACAGCTCAGGGCCAACAGCTGGAAGTCATGGGGGCAGGGGCAGAGATGACCCCTGGGGCTGGGGTTCCCTGCGATAGAGTGATCTGTGGCTCTTCCTGCCCACCCGCCTTTGCCCCAACTGCCTCCTCCACCTGGAACAGCTTCACCCTTCCTCGGACAAAATTCCACATATCTCTTCTGACAGCAGCGCCCCCCCTTGAAGGCTTCCCAGCCCACACGCCACCCTGAATCATCACTCGGACCCAGAATCCCGACCTCCTCCTTCAGGGCTCCTGGCACACAGGGCTGGGCCCCCACTAGCTGGGTGTCCTCCGAGCCTGTGGGTTGGGTGTAACTCTTTGTTACTACTCTGGAGCCTGGCATGTAGTAGGTGTTCAGAGGTCGCTAACCTAAGCAGTGGGCTTCATTACAATGTCATTCCTCAAGGGATCCATTCCAGCACCACGGCCACGAAGCATAAAGAGGGGGTGCATCCATCACGCTGGCCTGGCCCTGAAGCCCACCCTCCATCCCAGGGCCAGTGCCAAACGCCCTCTAGTGAGGCTGGGAAAGACACTGGCTAGCAAGGGAAGTGGGAACCATTCTGCACAACACAGAGCCTGAAAAAGTGACTTCCATTCCCATCTGGACTACAAGCTTGCATGCACGTGCACTCACACACACACACACACACACACACACGCTCAATCCGAGTCCTTCTTCCTTCCCCGTTTGGCCTGGAGCAGGCTGGACAAAAGGGGAAGGAAGCAAGTCCCCTTATCAGGGCTCCTCACAGTTGGGGGTGAGGCTCACTGTCAGTGTCCAAAACATCTGGGGGGCCTGTCCTAATGATGTTCCTAAGGACCCCCACCCCAACAAATGGGACGGATGCTCAGGGAGTGGGCCCAGGAAACTGCACTGTAACAGAAAGAGAGAAAGAGAACCCCCAACCCCAAGCGATTCTGATGCTCTGCTGCTGAACATACCCGATTATTTGGCACCCCCGGACAGAGCAAGATGACCTGGCGGGGGGGCACAGAGGGAGACCCAGAGATCAAAGGCTAGGGGAGCCCCTAAACCAGAGAAATCATACCTTCTGCAGCTCCCTTTATACACACCATTCAACTGTGTACCAAGCATAGCGGAGGGCCTGACTGTCCTCCGTGGCCCCCAGACGGGCCTTCCTTGCAGGCTGCAGCTGTGTGGCTTCCCGAAGGGAAGGGGCCGTGTCTCTCCCTCTGGCTGAGACCCCCAGAGGCAGCTGTCTGTCCCCAGAGGGCAGGGAGGGCTGCACATCCTTCTCTTGCAGCCCCCCCGCCCTGCAGGGCGGCTAGCACAGGCGTCGGGGACCCGGCCCAGCACACCGTGGGCTTCTTCCCCACCGGGACCCTCAGCAGTGACTAGGAAAGCCCCTCACTCACGTGGGGCTGAGAAGCACCGGGCCAGTGCAGCTCCAACTGGCAGAGAAAAACCCTCAGCCTCAGGGGCGGCCCTGGGAGGCTAGCCCTGGCTGGGGCAGGAGGATTTCCTGTCAGGGTCCAAAAGGCCTGATGGGAAAGGGCCCTACCCTGGCCAAGCCTGTGGTCTCTCTCCACCCACAGGCCAAGGGTTCCTGGACAAAGACAGGCAGCAGGACCCCACAGCCCCCAGGCCACTGCCTGGAGGCCTCCCCTCCTGGGCCTTTTCCAGTCAGAATCTTGTTATGAACACCCTTCCCTACACTTTCTCCTGCTGCTGTGGGTGATTCCAGAGCCCAGGGGCTGGCAGCAGGCAGAGGAGGTCAGCCCTCCCTTGAGTAATCTCCAGGCCTGTTTATCCTTCGGACAGGAAAAAAAAAAACAAAAAACCAACCACAGCCCTGTCACGGCTTAACAATGAGGAACAGAAAGCCCCTCTGCAGAGCAGGACAAAAGGTCACTCCCTCCCTCTACTGTGGAGCTCCCCGGAGCAGAGGCCCTGCTGACCCACAGCCCCAGGAGCCCCACGAGCCCCAGGAGCCGGCCTCAGGTCACCTCAGGAGCCACATGGGCCAGGGGTCTCTGGATGTCCCCAGAGCGGGGCAAACGGGCTCTGGGGAACGCAGGGCTACAGAAGCTTCTAGATCCTTTGGCTGGTGTTGGGGAGTCTCAGACTCACATATCACCCATCCGCAGGGAGTTCTGACTGACATTTTAAAATGAGGAAATAAATTGGATAGTATTTAATTTACTCAGCAGTTTAGCAAACCCAATCTTCCAAGACACAAGGTTCCCAGGTGAAAATCTGGAAATCACTGATGACTCTTAACTATAACAGGGGAGGCAATCTGTGACCCAGTGTGGGGATGGGGGACTGGCGAGGAGACGGATGGTGGGTGGATGGGCGAATGGATGGATGGGATTGCTAAATAAGGGGGGGGGGGAGGAAAATAGATGGATGGAGGGAGGGAGGGAGGGAGGGCCTATCTAACATCTCATGTATGAGGCACCTGTGATTGTGCGAAATGGAGGCGGAAAGAAGCAAAGGCACCTCCCTGGTCTCCCAAAAGTTCTAGGCCATTCCAGGGGGCCTGGCCGGTGGCAGGTTGATTGAGGACCAGGCACAAGGAGGCCATCAGGGCCCCCGCCTCACCCACCCTCACCTCAAGGTCAGCAACTCCCTTTTCTCTGCTCAGCATGGGGCCCCCTCCTCCCAGGACGGGAGAAACCCGCAGAAGGGAGCAGCTAACATGCACTGAGCACCTGCCGTCTCCCAAGAGCCATTGTATGCACTAGATCCACGGTCCCCCAGAGTCTCCCCACAACGATCCCAGCCGCCCAGAGGTGAAGTGACATGCCCCCCACCCCGGCCCCGAGGCTAGAGCACAGCAGCGCCACTCCTTGCTGCCTCTTCTCCTGCCTCCCTTCTCTCAGGAAGGTCCCCAAAACATGGGACCCAAGCTTCCCTTTCCCCTTGACACAGATCCAGGACCCCAGGTGTCCCCCAAAACTCAGCACACCCTCCCACCACGTGGCCTCCGTCACTCCTCCAGCTTCTCAGCTCTGGCCCTTTGAGGAGGAAGGAAAACAACAGGATATTCGTTAAGCACCTACTATGCGCCGGGCCAGGCCACAGGCACTTTATGGAACCCTACTTCCACCCCCAAAAGCAGGTGGGCGCGGGCCCATCTCACAGCTGACGGAGATCAAGTCATTTGTCTGAGGTCATCCAAGAAGGATGGGGTGGAGCTGGGATGTGACTCTTTTCCTGGTCCCGCTGGAGAAATCCTTGGTCCCCTCCTCAGGACAGCTGAAGGAGCCAGCTCCTCGTCCCTGGGTCACTGCTGGCACCACCGCCCCTGTTCATCTACCTCCGCGCCACGCAGGGACCGGGGCCTGGGCTCAACAGGTTCTGTCACTCGGGCTCTTTCTCTCTCACACACACACACCAGTGCAGGGGACCCCTCTCGGCCTCAGGCCACCATCCTCTGACCTCAGCTCTGACCTGGTTTCCCAGGGGACCCCCTACCCAGGAACCTCAGAACAGGCCGGTCTTCCACAGCCCGCAGGGACATTGGCCGCCTGAGAGCTGGCTCCTCCCACAACTGGCTCCTCCCACAACTGGCTCCTCCCACAACTGGCTCCTCCCACAACTCCCACTGGGCTCCTGAGAGGACCGGTCCTCAGGCTCGGCTTGTGCCAAGCGCTGGAAGGATGCGTGGGAGCCCCCTTAAAGGAGGATGGGGCCCAGAAGTGGGGGCAGGATGGAGGTGCGGCCGCCGGGGGCCGGCAGGGGCCTCAGACGCCGCATCTCAGCGACCTCCCGTTTCATGGTGGAGAAAGTCAGGGACAAGAGTAGAAACGTTCATTCATTCAACAAACGTACCAAACCCTTGCCGATCCAGGTGCTGCGCGTTACTGCATTGACTACACCCCAGTCCCTGCCCTGCCTGGGGCCAGAAGGCATCGGGAGAACGGGTTTGGCTTGTTGTAGGCCCAGC